TGGGCCCACCTGGATGATATACCAAACCCTCCCCATCTCAGGTTCTTAATTACATATTCAAAGTCTCTTTTTCCATGTGAGGTAACATATTTACAGGTTTCTACAATTATGGTGTGGCTGTATTGGAGGGGTCAGTTTTCTGTCTACCATAAAAGCTGTATGTCTAAGAAAAAGGTATAAATTCAATAATTGGAGCACTTGCTTACAATGATTTATTATATATTCATTAAAGCTTTATTGTATACAGAATGATGACAACTAACAATGTTGTTTATATATCTGTAATGTATAACAATCTTAAGAGGCTAACTATATGCTACTCACTGTTCTAAAACTTACACAGATTTTAACATTAACTTAATCTTTCCATCGACCATGCATACAAATGCACTATTACTTTTTCAAATTTATTTATTTATTTTTGCATAAAAGGACTTGGCCTTAGGCCAGAGGTGGGTGTGTGTGTGTGTGAAAGGATTCGTCAGAGACGGAGTGGGGAGCAGAACAGGCTGATCTACTAAACTACACCTACTAAGGGGAGCTGTGGGCAAGGCAGGAGACGTCTGCTATGCAATCTGTGGGTTAGCTCCTTGGTAGGGGATACAACTCAGGCCGTCCTGGGTGATAACACTGAGACTAAATCCTGAGGCCACGAGGAAGGCCTTACTCCCTCTTTTTGTAGGTAAGGAAACTAAGGCACAGAGAACTAGTGATTTGCTTAAGGTTTATAACTGGCAGATACTGTTTGATGAAGTCAAGATGGCTGTGAAGTCAGTCAGCTTAATAGAATTGGATATGTATTCTTGATCCACCATTAATTGAAAAATAGCATATTAAAATAAATGTGTGGTATAACCCCAGTTTTGTAAAAAGTAAAAAAAAAAAAAAAAAAGAAGTCCAAAAATGCCAGGGGAGTTATCTCTAAGTGGAATGATCGTGAGTCTTTTATAAATATAAATATAAATATGAAGAATGCCATAATTTTAATAGCTATTGTCTTCCAAACAAAAGACAAATTGAAGTGTGACAGTCAATGAATTAAATTTGTTAGCCTCATGATTGTAAAGATAACTATTGCCTCTAGGTTTTTAAATTATAAGGGAGACTGAGTAAAACTCAAGAGTGAAATTGTCCAGTGGTGTTATAAAACTAGGTTTGAGTGCTTGCTCTTGTAGAAGTGACTGAGTGGTGAACAGATGGTAACTGGCTTTGTGGCTGTTTACCTACAGCAGTCCATGAGTTGTTCTGAAAGATAAACGAGGTAATAGGTGTGAAATAACCTTAAGGCAGGATGTCAAGGTCAGCCAGATGGAGATGTGGAATATGTAACATATTCTCCCCACCAAAACAAGATAATTAACAATAATTATGTCACCAGAGTAGTGAGCAAATGTCCTTAGCACCTTCTATAGCAGAAAAGTATTTGACTTTATCTCTAAAAGAAAATGTGATCTACCTTCTAATTTTTTTTTAAAAAAGATTTTTTTATTTATTCATATCTAGCTGGGGTACACCTAGAGGTGTACCCGGGGGCCCGGGGGTGAGAGGATTATTCCCCAGAGACAGAGTGAGGAGCAGAACAGGCAGATTGAGGAAGTACACTGCTGAGGGGAGCAGCAGGCCAGACAGGGGAGGCCTGCTGCACCATGTGGATCACCTGCAGGGCCAGGGATTGAACTTGAAGCAGCTGCAGCTTGCTTGCAGTGCTGCGTTCTAACCCGCTGAGCCACCAGGGAGGGCGCATACCTTCTAATTTGAGGATCTTCTTCATTCAGTTCTATTGAACAGTTGGGATTCTCTCTCTAGTCTTTTCCACGAAGGCATTCAGTTTTACAGGGATAACAGGAAATGGAACAGGATGGGCATAGTCTCCTTAAGGAACAGAACTGCATCACTAAACTTACAGCAGCTTTTTGTAAATAAACCAGGCTTTGCATCTACTGTATCTTAAGGCTATGAATATAGTTTATGTAACTAAATAGGTGTGATCATTCTTCAAAGTATTTTTATGTCAGGACGTCTGTATGGAATTACAAAATGACAGGGAGTTACAGTAAAATGTCAATTAAAAAATACAGTACAATGGTTTAGAAAGTGTATTCTGATGTCCCACAGATGTGCTTTCACACTCTAATTCTGCCAGAGAACATGTGTGCCTGTGATCAAGACACTGAATGCTGTAAACCAGTTTCCTGTGAACAAGACATTGCTTGTGTATCGTGTATGTACATGCAGTAAGTGCTGTACACTAAACAGGATTTTGGTTCATTCCCCTGAAGAGAATTCTGTCCCAATGCCAGATCAGGAGTAAAAGTCCTTGCAGTTTGCCCTTGCAGTTTGCCATATGTGGAGTTTCATGAAATGCAGCTTGACACAGGGTTCAAGTGAAGTTGTTTATTTCCAAGGTTATCCTGGAAAGTACTGGTAGAGAAGTAAAATGAGGCGGGGAGGGAAAGAAGCAGTGTAGAGACTGGTTCAGTCCTGGAGGGAACTAAGTTGGGTAGACTAGAGCATCTCTCAGGCTTTCATTTGTTGGGTGTAGGAGTAGGGGTTAGTTACCCATTAATTCCCACCCCTGAATGGGTGTGGATTGCTTAGAGCTCTGACTTCACTCTCAAGTCTGGGGCTAAGAGGAAGCCCATAAAGAGCCCTGCTGCTCAAAGAAGGAAGGCAGACATGCACTGAATGGTGAGTATCCCAGGTACTAAGGGCAGGGCAGTGAGATTCAGCTATATCTAGCTTTATGCTTTCCTTTTACTTGTAAAACCTAAAGACCACTCCAGCTGTTCTTGGTTGCAAGGTAAACATAAAGGGTTAGCTCTGCATAACTGCATTGCTGCTATAATGAATTGTGAAAGATGATAGACTTCTACTCACAATGTGGTAGCAACTTCTTCAATATTCAGCATAACCTTACAACTTTCTTTTTGTTTGGTAATACAAAACACCTGCTTCCCTGGCAGTTACCAGACAGCTAGCAAATGTGTAAAGACAGAATAACACCAACCAAAAGAAACAATGTCACTTGATAACCTTTGGCTTCAGTTTCATCATGGGTTGGGAAGCAGTTATTATCTGCTCTGTCCTGCAATGGGTAAGTGTGCACATATTCGGCTCTTGTAATTTTCATTGAACTTTAAAAGCATCTTCAGAAATAAGTCCACTTACAAAGAGGATGATTAAAGGCAGGCATTCTCACTAGAGTAATTAAATAATCCATTCTACAAATTAAAGAATAAAACAAATTCCTTTTTGACTTTCTAAACTGACAAATCATTTCTGAGCATTTAGTACCAGGATTCTGGACTCGGGGATCTACTGATGTGTTTATATTTAGTCATTCTGCTTCATAATATATATTCAAAGGAAACAATCATTTTGGATTTGTGTTTCCCAGAACAACCTTATCCCACACAAACACTATTTTCTCAATAGTGCCAAATCCCATTTGCTACGGAAAGCTCTTTGCTTTTTGTGGTTTCATCAATCTTGACCTCTTAAAGGGAGTGTGGGGAGAAGCTTGCAATTTGGTTTCCTAAACCGTTCTTAGCAATCTCGGTACTTCATTCCAGTGACTGAGCTCCTCAGCGGATCTTGACATCACATAATCACAGCCTGGAAAAGTTAGTCAGGAACGTTTTTAACAGCGGCCCTGGGCTGTGACGAAAAATACACCCTTAGACCCTGCCTGCCCAGGTCCCCAGGGCTGCCACCCGGCCCGCCGGCCTCGCGCTTCTGCTTTTCGCCCGCAGGTGGCAGCAGCGGGCTCGGCAAGTGATCGGAGACGCGGTGCAGCTCCCGGTGGGCTCTCGGGACTGGAGGTGGGACGTTCACCTCCGGGATCCCCTACGCAGCCGCGCGGTCCGCAGGGCCGGAGCAACTGAGCGCTAAAATCCTCTTGATCTTTTCATTTCTTGAGTGAAAACACGGTTTGAAGCAGCAACGGCAACTCCTCGATCCCTGCTCCCTTCCGTTACCAAAATTTCGACCAATTCCAGTAGCTAGTGGTCCTCTTTTCCGATCAGGGTCAGCTTCACAACTCCCATCGCTCTCGCCCCGCAGGTCTGCGGGAGCCGGGTGCTGGTGGCGGAGAGCGCGTGGGCGGTCGCTGCGCCGGACCCTAGTCGTCTCCTTCGGGCCCTCGGCACGCGGGTTTTCCGGCCGGTCGGGGAGTCAGCTCGGCTACACCCCTATTTCACAACCTCGTCCCTGTCCCCTAGCCCTTCTCTTCGTCCCTTCTACCCAAAGATGCACCCGCGGCTCGCCGCTCGTGTTCCAGTCTCGGCTGCGGGAGCGGGAGCGACTCCAGCCCAGCAAGCATGGACAAGCCGCCTGGACTCTCCGCCCCGCTGTCCTCAGTCCAGCACCGCTGCCGCGCAGCTCCTTTCCGCTTAGCCACGGTCACCCACTGCCCGCGCCGCTGCAGCTCAGTCGGGCTGGAAGAAGTTGACGCCTCGGGAGGGGCGGCGGGGAGCAGGATGAAGGATTTGTAGTGGGAGGATTAACACATCTGGGCGAGGGGAGGGGCAGCGCCGTGGCAGGGACGCGGCGCGGACCCCGCACCAGTGCGCGCAGCAGCCGCC